GCAAGTGACGTACCTGAGCACACCATTATAAACGCTCAAAGCAGCAAATGCTCATCATCATCATGATCATTTCATCATCTAAAACACATGGAATTTAAGGAATTTCTATTCTTCTTTGGATAGCTCAACAAATTGAGATGTTTGAAGTGAAATTTTAGCTCCATCGGAATAATGGAGACACAGTTTGTTAAACTGCTAAAGAGAATTAAGTTAGATGAAAACAGAGCCTAGATAAATTAAGCTTAAAGGTAGGGTTGGCGATCCTGGAAAAACTAGCAAGAGGAAGCTCGATTTTGAAAGTAGCACAGATTTCAGGAAAATAACAAATGCCCCCATAACTAAACTGATAATTACCTGTCCAGCAGAAATCCCACCACCATGGCGTCATTTTTCAGCCCCTTTTGTTCTCTCAGTTGTCGCCATCGTTCAAAGGCCGCATCAGTGTTAATTCTGGTTTTACTTCTTGTAGCATCCAACTTCTTTTTAGTTGTTACTCTCTCAAGTACAGTTATTACCCACCCAGCTCTGCCACCCAATCATAGTTGGGGACCTCTGGTTCATGGCTAAACTGCTTTAGCCCTGGTTCGTAGACAGTAGCTAGCCTTAGAAGTCTAGGCTTTTCTGGCAGGGGGTAGTGAAGAGGGAGGCCGGCTAACTGTTCAAAACACAGGCTTTATTCTATCTTGATAACACAAACACCACATGTGGCTTTGGTGCCAAGTTAACTGTATTACAATCTTGTCTATACACTTAGAGCTGACTACTGTTGGTATTTTCACCACCTGTGGCTGCATGTAAAAGGTTTCTGTTCAGTGCGATGGTCTTCTCGCTCTCATACTGCTGACAGCAACAACAACATTACCTATAAGTCTGTATGTCTTAAAGGTGGAGGCCTAGCCTGTAACAACCGTCTCCGTTTGTGAATGAAAGCTGCTGTAGGTACCTTCTCTGCCATAGCTCGCTAGCTGCAGCTATCAAAACAGAACAGGAACGTATCTGCCTGCCTGGCCTTGTGGCAGACTCTTGGCTTGTGCAAGGACAGGGTGCACTAGAAAGTAGGTTGACAGGCAGATAGGCCATCCAACGGTTTTGCTTGGGATGAGTAATATTATTCATCAGGCTTTTTTCAGCCCTGCTGCTGCCAGAGATGATGGATTTTTTTTCTTTATGTTGTCAGTGCATTTAATGTGTTCATTGCTATCAGGATGAAAAGAGAAATTCAAGAAGTGTAACAAAAATGCTTCTGAAAGGAATCACCAGCCCTGCCTTTAATTGAAATTAAGGATAAAATATCCATCCCCACTTAGTTGATCAGATTTTGAACACTTGGACAGAATAGAAGAAATTATGACAAAAACATACTTATCAAGTTGTTAATCAGAAGCTTGTAGAGACTGTTTTACATAATCATTACAAAAGGAGAAACTCATTGATAATGTCTTTTTAACAGACCACATTGTGCAAACTCTCGCCTCCTCCTCCGCCTCATGCTCTTCCCCCTTCCTTTGTATGCATGATTGTCGTCAAATATGCATGACGAGCGTTATAGTCGTGTCAGTGCTGTGTAATTGTTGTTTCCTACGTGTAGCTCGGCATGTAACATAGTGAAATGTGATTCAAAGCTTTGATTGTCCTGATGAATATTTGTTTCCTTTTCCCTGTGGCTTGTTATCACACATGTTCGGTGTCTTATGAAGAAACTGTTTACTTCTGTTGAAATGTCTGTGAATGCAGATAAATAAATACCAAGAGAACGTGTGGGCTTTATTTTACTGAAGAAAACCAGTGCAAATAATGCATAGTTTTTGTGAGCCTCTGTTGTCAGGGTAGAGGTGAAGCATTTAGCCAGACTGTTTAATTCTGCATGTTGATAAGATGTTAATCAAGCCTGGGCATTTGATAACATGCCTGACTGCACTGCCAGTCACGCCTCTGTTTGCCCTCACAAAGCAGCACATGATGTGACTCAAAATTGGTCAATCCTAATAAATCACTGGCCCTTTAGAGGCTGCACTGGCACAACAGTCAACTGATTATCAAAATAGATGGGCATTGTCAGAAGCGATGTTCTCAGAATAATGTGTTCATCACTCGGCCTTTTGCCGAGTATGATGTATGACCCCCAAAATACTGAAAAACTGCCAATCGTGGCGCTGTTCCCCTGCAGAATGAATGCGCTCGCTAGTGTTCCTGACATGCAGCTGGTGTTGACACAAATGCTCATTGGTATAAATCACTTTGATGCCAACCTCCTGGCCATATTTACAGTTCCACAGTATCAGACAGGAGTCACGTGTAGAATGTAAAGGGATGTTGAACTATGAGATGGATGTCACTGTCACCGAACAGCATCAACACCTTTTTCCCTCTGAAGTATGGTACACATTCTTCCATCATGGGGACTGGAAATGGCTTTTCAGGACTGAAATGTAGCACCATTGTGATTTTGGAGGACATTTGAAATTATTGATAGACTCTACAGTCAAGTCAAGAGCATAAAAATGGCTATAAATAGATGTCTGTTTTAGCAGCGCAGTTTGAAAACAGACTTGGTTAGTAAAGATATGATTTGTTCTTGTGTACCGTTTGATTTATAAACTGGTCACCAGTGTTTTTCACCATTGCTATATGGAGACCTTTAAGATGTGATAAATGATAGTTTGATATTGGAGACCTTCTAGTTTTAAGCTGTAAACTAAGTAGCATTGATTTTCTTGTCTTTGTGAATCATTCAACATGGACTGTTATTGTAATGAATTTGAACTATTTGTTGTTATTGTAAAAACAGGGCTTGTGTTTTCTGTACACAATGTTACACATGCAGTACAACTATCTATAACAGTCACCTTTTACTTTCAAGTTCTTTTGTATTGTAGTCTATGTAATTTTGTATCAATGCCTAAGGTGTTGAAAAGACTTGGAGACTGTGTGTGTGTGTGTGTGTGTGGGTGTGTGTGTGTGTGTGTGTAAAATTGCAAAGTTAATTGTTCTAAGAACCTAAACCTCCCTCAGCAACAGAAATAGTTTTTGATAAACTTGTCCAAGAACAAAAACACAAGGCATTTTGTTTCATTCATGTTTTGTCCTTTCTTCTTGTGAGAAAGCAAAAAAAGAAAAAAAAGCTAAGCTCTGCAGAGTAATTGTTGTCCGCCTTTTTGAATAGATTGGAGCGAGGCAAAGCATGAAAGTAATTGCCTCCTAAAGATCAAATCACATTTATCCCGTCTTGCAATTAAAAGTATCATTAGCATTTAAATTGCCAAATAAGATTGTGATCAACAGAAATCAATGAGAGCACCAAGGATCAGCTCAAACACTTCACATTGTTTTCCATGAGTAGGGTCGTGGTCATATGGCAGCTCTTTATTCCAAACACTTCTGGGAATGCAACACTTCACTGTCTCTCACATGCAGCGGACAGGAAGATTGTTTTCTAACTGTCACGCTGAGGGACATCTTAACTCTGATTATCTGCAGCTCAGAAACGGCCGCACTGTAGCAAACATTTCTTATAGAAAGGTCACTTTTTGTGAGTGCATTGTAAAAGTCATTTTCTTTGCTGTAAATCTTCCCTCACAGATTACTCTTCTCAGTTTAAGGATTAGTTATGTTTTCTCCTCACTATCCCTCTTAAATCTCCCCTTAAGCTGCCCTGAGCCTTTTGTAGCCAACAGAGCGAGGAGGACCAAGGTCTTCAAGATGGATGTCTGAGTAGGAAACAGTACAAACTTGAATGTAGCTTATGGTTCCCTGCCCAGTGCTGTCTTCTCCCCACAGGCTTGTGGTGCTTGTCAGGTTTTATTAGTATCTGCTTCTTGCAAAGCCCAGATGTGGCCTGCGTCACATTCAGCCATGAGCAAGTCTGGGTGTAATTATAGGGTTGTGATGCACATGAGGTGGTCAAGCTGAGATGAACATCATCATATCTGACTAATGACGGATCGTGCTAACATTAACCATGAACCACAGTTACTGTACACTGCAATGAATCATTGGAGAATATGCAGAATGCACAGTTCTGATGTGCAGGATATTTTACTCATCATATGGCATATGTGTACATCATGGCACAAAACAACCTTCATAAATATTTTATGTCGCACAGCCTATTGACCCATTCTTGAGCTTTTTCTTTATTTGGGTTGATTCTGTCTTGTACATCTCATTTTTGTATTCCCAGTTGCAATTTCGGGCCAATAAAAAGATTACATCTCAACAGCTGCTTGCTCAGAAAATTTTAAACCAAGACAAGCTGCATATATTAATCAACAAGATTCGGGAAGAAAGAAAAAACATGTTTAGGATCAAAGGCTAATCTTATTTCGCTTGAAAGCAAGCTTTGCATGTGGATAGTCATTTCATTATTTAGCATTAGATCTGTGGTACAGAGTGTTATTGTGAAGAAAAATGCATTCACTGGTCAAGCATATGTTCACTGAATGACTTGACTGAAATCTTTTATAATTAATTATTCAATGAAATGCAAAAAAACAACTACTTTTCAATCCCACCTCAATTAGCTTGTCACATGCGTAGTTTACTTTGTACAGCAAGTACTGGGTACGCAATGTTTGATTACTCTGGCAGTGGATTTTTTGGTTTGTTTGGTAACACTTTATTTTACAGGTCTCCTCCACTTTCAGCTTGCCCTGTTAGGGGTCACCACAGCGAGTCATCTGTTTCCACACTGACGATTCGCATAGTTTGAAATTTGGCATGCTTTTTTTTACACCATTCCTGGTGCAACTATTTATCCGGGCTTGGGACCGGCACAGAAGTCACTGGTGTGAAACCCCTATGTCTAGAGGTTTCCTGACAGGGAATCGAACCGGGGCCGCAGTGGTGAGAGCACTGAATCCTAGCCACCAGGGACTTTATTTTACAGGTCTCCTATTTCCTGATAATTTTTTTTAAGTTTCCCACAAAGGTCAAAGATCCAGAAAAATAGAGACAAAGTTCTTAGTCAACTGAGTAGTGTTGAGTTTGGCTTCCATGAGAGAAACTGCTCCGTGTAAACCCCAGTTAATATTTGCTGTTTATTTATTAATTATATTAAATAGTATCCTTCATTTATGCTGAATTGGATGGCTGTTTGTAGACATACATTTTGCATGTGTAGTTCGCCTTCTGTCATCTGAAGAAATCCTCAGGTTTGTTTTAGCTCAGCATTTAGAAATAACTGGAAGTGTGCCAGCTGATCACCCTCTAATTGTGCCTGTAATTAGTCCCCGGAAACATCTCAAGACATTATTTAAAAATAAACTGGAATTTACAGACCTGTGAAATAAAGTGTCACTGTTTTTCCCACAATGCATTGCACAGGAAATGAAGGAGCAGCTCACAGCTGGAAAAATGAGCATGCTGAGTACAATGCTCAGAGTCAGACAGCTTCAGGAGCTTCTTGACATACAAAATATAAAGCACGAAATCTCTGAGGAGAAAAATGCTTTGAAGTCACAGTTTACACATTAACTTTCTGGTTCAACTGACCTACAGTACTACTCACAGGCGTTTTATAAACTGAGGGATTCATAACAATATTCTGTGTGTTCACTTCCAGTCACTCGTCCCCCAATAAATCAGGCTAAACCGATGGTGCATTTAAAAGCTGTCCACTTGTTTCACATCAGACTTGTAGCAGTTTCACTTTATTAGCAGATCTCAGCAATTGCTTTGGTGAAATTACTATGATCATAACTGACGGAGTGATGGCCACAACTAAGAAAGTCAAGTTGGAGTAAATTAGAATTTTCCTCTGGGTCCATTCAAAGGTGCATACTAAGTTTGCTCAGTTATTGAGTGTGCTGTTGGTGGGCGCTGTACTGTAGTTTCACAGCTCCTGTATACTAACATTGACAGTAAAGATTAGTCATTTGTAGTATTAGCCTCTGGTATGGATTTGGGACACAGTTGGAGTGACTGAGCACACGACCCTACTGTATGTTTGTGCACTCTGCACACACGCCGCTTCATCAAACACTGATGCTAGTTTTCACTCTGTCTTCCAACTATTGTATCAACCAGTAGTGACAAGCTGTACACTGAGCTGTCTCCTGAGGCTACTGCGTCTGTGTAATGTGATTACAAATGTAGCTGAATTCAATCAAGAAAGGGAGGTATGACAGGAAGGAAGCGGTTGCTGTAGGTTGTCATGAGATGAGGGAGTTTCTTCATGTTTAGTCACATTTGATAAAGTCACTATGCATATGCGGCTCCAACGTGCAATTTATTTGAACAGACTCCTTAACATAATGTACACTGAAATGCAATCATTCCATGTCCTTTGTTCAAATGTAAATTGAAAAAATACATCAGGATGTGAATGCAAATGCTGGATCATACATAAACAGCATTTCATCCTGGCTGAATCAATCTGTTTCAACATGACAATGTCTAACTGATTTGTCTCAAAACATAATAAATAATGTGTTGCTAGATGACGGCACGTTTTTTTTGCAGCTCTTCATCGGCCTTCTGTTTCAGCAAATTGAAGAAAAGTCATGATTTGGTGTCTGCACAGGGCAGAGAGAGAGAGTGAAAATTCCATTTTGTCTTCATTTCTGGAAAACAAATGATCTTGTGAGCTGTCACACGTGCTCACCTGTATCAGAATCCAGTCAATCATAAGCCACGGATTACAATACTTTATAATGAGCATGCCGTTGTACCTGCGGAAACCACGTTTCCACAAAACTCATAATTATCTGTCTCAGGAAAAATGGATGCTTCTGCTCTGAAGGCTCTGTGATGAAAGAGGTTATTGTAGATGAGGGGTTGTGCTGCATGCTGTCTTTCTGTGTGTTTGCTGTGCCTCTGTGCTGCAGGCAGGCTGAAGAGGGTGCCACATATATCTAGCAGTGGCATGGCATCCCTGTCTGGAGACAAGGTGATACGGACTGGAAATAATTAGCATGAAAGAAAGAGTTAAGAGGTGCACTCATGCACAAATTTTCTGCACATTAAAACGCCTGCTTGGCCTTGTGGAAAGGTCATGTTATTCAATAAGGACGTGAACCAGTGCGAATGGGAGGCGGGAGGGAGATGGAGATAATGCATGTAGGTACACATCTCAGTGTCTGTGCTCCACTTCATTATCTTTGATCACTCCTGATATCCTGTCAGAATTCGGCAGATGACATCTGACTACCAGCGTGTTTGAGGGAAAGGGTTTTCTTTGTAACGATTTCGTAGCAACAACCCTTCTGCTTCCATGTCTGAAATAATTATCCAGAAGCACATCAAACAATTTTAACAACAAGCTTTCAATTGCAGCTGTCTTTCCTGATCTCAGTTTAATTTTCCATATTATTATCATATCAGTGACTGTGTGCCGAAGTGGCCTTTATCTCCAGTGAAAATTTCTTTGTTGATTTGTGGAAAATAGTTGTTTACTATTCTGCTAATGGCGGCATGTAAATGAGCACAGGTGTTCAGTGTTCAGTTTTGTTCTTTCCCAGGTGTGTTAGCAGAAGAGTGGGCTGAGTGCCTTGGGATCAGGGGGTGTTAGTACCAGGGATCTAGGGGAGTGCACAACATGTCAAACAAACAGTCGCCGCACAGTAGGCAGGGAGTTCATCTGTGTGCCACTTTGGAAGAGGCTCAATTCACCCCAAGGACTTGACTCACAAGTGCCCTTCTCCTGGCCCCCATACCCCCTCCATCCCCGTCTCCTTACCTCAGTGTCCAATTACAGCCCACTCTCATTAGCACAGTGTCTCTCCAGCGAGAGCCTTTGAAAGGGCAGGGGGAATGGCTGCCACCGCAACAAAGCCGCCAACATGAGATCTATCAAAATCCAACGAAAGAGAGACAAAGGTTTTTTTTTGTTTATAGAGTGCTGTAGAAGGTGAGGGACATAAGGAGTGGCAGTCCCTTACTGTGCTGAGTGTCATGTTATCTTTTCACTCTCTTAACAGGACTGACCTCCCACCTGCCCACAAACCTGCCCCTCCCCCGCCCAAAAAAAAGAACAGTGACATGAAGGGACACTTGACATCCGATGAGATCCAGGTAAGGTCCTCCTTCTCATCCCTTTCTCTTATTCACATCTGTTCTGACTGCTCTGATAAAAGGTTCCCAGATTTCTCCGTCAAATTTCTTTCACATTGTCACATTTTTGAGACAAGTGTTGGCAATTCAAGCCCAAATATATTTTAAAACCAAGTCAGAACATTTGATTTGATTTGATTTGATTTGATTTGATTTATTCTTTCAAGCATGTAAAGAAAGTTGATATGTCAACACACATAATTTTACACATATCCAACAAATGCTAATCCAGTATCAATTTGCTTATACCTAGTACATGCTTGAATGGAGTAGGAAGAAGTCAGACTTATCCAGTCCTACCCCATGACATCATCTTACCATCATTGGTTTGCAAGCAGTATCTCTACATAAATAATTCTCTTCTACACCACACAAGTAATATACTAAAGAATTATTACAAAGTGTTATCATTCATAGACCACACCCACAATTGTCCATGTAATTAATCATTGAGCCTGTTCTTGCATATATCTTGATTGACACATACCTTTATATTTATGTTTAAACTCATCAATTCTATTACTATTTTTTATGTC